CAGCGTGGCAGATTTTATTTAAAATTTGCAGCAATATCACTCAAATCTTTGCACCTTTTTATTATCTCACCATGCATTTGATTATTATCCCAGATGGTCTTATAACAGCATACTTTGTTTAGATTTTCTATCTTGTGGACGGGTTATTACCATTGCATTCCCTCCTCCTGTTCATAGTCTTGCAGATGCCAAAAGTAATTTTCATTTAGTTGAGCCCCCCTGTTAGTTTGTCCTATTCCCAGAATTCACTTCACTCTACCGTATATGAATGTATCGAACGTGTAGGTTGATCCAAAGTTGTATATTGGAGGAAAGATAATCATATCTCTCTCTCTCTCTCTCTATATATATATATACATATCACTCTACATATCCCTCTCTCTATATATTATATGTGTGTGTGTGTGTATTTGGTTTTTACAGACGTGTATCAATCAGATATGATTATTTACGTATGCTTGTATAAGTAGATAGTCTTGTAACAAAGGTGCTGTATGTTTTGTTTGTTTGCCAAGCCTAGATCGCCACCCTGTTACAGTTGTCTATGAGTGACTCGATATTTTACAACATATTTAATTTAAGACTGCATATTATTGGGACTCTGTTCTTAATATGTTGTGAACGATATACATATGTGTGTATATGTATTTATACATCTGTATGAAAAGTATAACATACTTTCATGAATAGTCTTGTAACCAATGTGTTGTACGTCTTGTTTGTTTTTGCATGCCAGGACCAGAGAGTCGGAGATGATGGAATGGTGGCTGACCTGTTACATATGTATGTCAGTATGATGTCTGGATCACACTGCACAGCCACGTGCTACTTTGCTGACTCAACTATGCAGTCAACTAGATGTTCCAGTGCGCCATGGACGTCGGAATTTATATAGTCTTGTGAATTCCACAGACCTTTATAGCGAATTGATAGCTTCCTTTGCACTTTGATCACTAACACACTGTGTGAGCATCTGTGTGCGTCGTTGCCACGTGAGTGTCTCGCACACACAGAGGGTTGTGTGTGCCGTCGCTAGTTGTTATTCAAATTTGCTCAATAGAACCATCGATTTCTACGGGGGAAACAGCTACGTACGTGCAACGGGTGCTTAAACGCAACAACTGCTCGGAATTTGGAGTTTATGGCTTGGTAGTTCTTAAAGGGGCTTGTTCTCAGGTACTTTCGTGTTCGCTTCGGCAACACATCTATTAAAATTGGAACGATACAGAGAAGATTAGCATGGCCCCTGCGCAAGGATGACACGCAAAATCGTGAAGCGTTCCATATTTTTGCGTTGTAGAATCATTTAATTTCCATAATTTCTCGAAATCCCTACTTAAAACGGCCCAAAACTGACGTTTTAGGCCCCAAAACGTCTTTAAATGAGTTTTTGCAAAATGAGGGTCTGGAGCAAAGGCTAATCTAACCTTTAATAACATATACAGATGATGGTTAAGAGGAGGGGTCCTTTAAGGGAAACCATGGTCACACCACAAACCTGTAACGTGCCCTTTAAATGGCCGAAAATCTGTGTTTTTAGCATTACAAAACAGATCAAAAGGTATTTTCAGAATACTGTCCGGGCAAAAGACTAGTTTCATACCTTTGATATAAAGAATCATGTCTTGCATGGGAACCTTTAAGAATTGAAAAGATGATACCAAACCCAAGAGACCTACTTGAAAGACCTAAATCGGCCTAACTGCTAAAGTAGGACCAACGGTAGAAACGTAACAATGTTCAGATAAAATTTGCTAATTTACCTTACCTCTGTGCATTAGGTCTGGGTGTCTTGTGACTTCGATTTAGACTAGAACTGTCATGTCTTCGTCACGTGATACCAGGCCGACCCTTATGTCTCCATCAAGGTCAGACTCAAGGTCAAGATCAAGGGATGACATCTTCCTAATGTGATGTCACTGAAGCACCGAGCCATGGATCTGCCGCTGTACCCAACAACTTTCAGTTTGTTAAAACGTACCTGTACCATGGAAAGGTCAATGACCGATCGAGCTAAGGTGTTTCACGACAGAGACTGAAACTGGAAAACGTTGATAAAGGATAGGTCCGATGCCGTTTAATAAGATCCAGCTAGAGCCCTGCTTCATGAAACTTGTTATCAATAACAAGTTGTAATAAGTGTTGTAATCTACTGAAAGCATGGCTTTTGATTAGCTTTGAGCAAATTTTGTTGTGATATAAATTTATTATTTGTAAGTGATGACATGTTTTATGAAACAGGGCCATGATGTGAAGAAATGCCGATGATATACATGTATACAATTGTGCAGGTAGTGATTAGAAACAGAGACTGTGGGAACAGGCCTGAAACAATTATGAATGTACTCACTTTGTGTTATACCTCAATAGAAGTTCAACGAACTGGAGTAGAAACATATGCCTGCCTCGCAACAACAAAAAATACCAAGCTGAATTGTGACGGTCAAATGCGTATTCAGATACTGAGACTTGGGGAAGATTTTTATTTTGTACACGTTTTACAAGTTTCTTAATTACTCTCTGGTTCTGAAGATAGGAGGTCAGACTAGACTAGACTTTAGAAAGGAAAATGTATTTTGTTTAAGAGACCTTATATACAATTACCGAGTTGAATGTAGACCGTCAAATAAGTTAACAGTCACAGGGAAATAAGAGAAGAGTCTTTTGCCAGCTAGGAAGAGGACTGGAATATCCCTTTTACATGAACATGTATTTCCCTGCTCGTAAAGATAGGAAGTCAAACTAGACGATAGGAAAAAGGATTTGTTGTTGAGACCTAATGGACATCTTTCTTGACAAGGTCTATTGATTAAAAAAAACATATTAGTAGTCATATTTCATGTCTTATAAGAAGAGTAGTGTTAGGGGATGTATCGTTTCAGGAAATAACAATTGAATAAACGTACAGTTGTGAGCCCGTCGACATTAAGCTGTCATGTTCGTACTTAATGTTTCTTGTTAAGCTTCTAGAACACCCTCTGTTGTAGTAGTAGCAGTACATGTAGTAGTAAAAGTAGCAGAAGTAGTACAAAAAGCAGTAGTAGTATCATGACAGAACCATTAGTAGTAGTGATAGTAGTTGCAGTAAGAGTAGGACTAGCAGTAGTGACTTTTATTTTCGACCGATTGTATGAAACTATATGTAATGTTTATTTTGTTGTAAGCCTCTTTATGTTTGTAAATAACTTTGTAATTGTATTCTGTTTCACTATTCTCACTTTAATAAACGCCTGAAACGTGATGTGTATGTGTTCATTTATTTTGGAGTGAATTGAAAATAAGCCGGACTCCGGGATAATAAAGGTTAACTTGTGTAAAGCGTAGATCTGTAATTGATACCTATTGTTGAGGGGGGGGGGGGTGATCTATTCATGCATCCCCCCTGAAGAATAGGTATTACGTAAGGATTGACGCCCATGGTAACTTGTATAAAGGCTTTGCATGTTACAGCGTACCCGAGAGTCAAAGTGCTTAATACAGTATTATTATAAGTACATGTATTATTATACATATATACGTGTGTGTGTATATATATATATATATATATATATATATATATAAATGTACAGTGTAAATATTACACTTTATATACATGTACATACATGTTTATAGATATATTCCCCTACCCTTACATTCGTAGGGGGGGACCTCAGATAAGTGTTCCACCTTCACATCCCCAGTCAGTAATTCTACTGGGAGGAGAGACACGGGGCTCACAGTCACAGTGATAAATTTCCTTTTGTCTCCCATGGACGGGTGACGCAAAGGCTTGATAACAATAATACTGGAGGCCTATAATTAATAAGCATGATAATAAAAGATCATTGTAATCATATGTTTTGCTATGATAGAAGAGAGGCATTGAAGACATTCGATACCAGCATAAAAACTGTTCACTTTTCAATTAAATTATACTTATATATATATATATATATATGCATATATATATAAGAATAAACATAACCGATTACGAAAATTTGGGTCATAAAATTGACCAACAAAAGAGAACATTGGGGTATATTTCAGTCAAAAACATGAATTTTAAGACGACTCCCGCATCTTTCACTGATCCCATGAATAAGCAAAACTTTATGTATATGTGGGAATGTGGACTAGTTTATGTTTTATGTAGATCGCGGACTTGTCCGATTATGCAAATTAGTTCGCTACGCGTGTTGCACATGATTTTGCGGATGAATGATTTATTGTGTGGTACGCCGCCCACGTTAATGTGTTAACATACATGTTAGTATTGAATCACATTCATGTCACGTTCAATTGCGGAGAGGACGTTGTTGCTGTGCCTGTAGCTGTGTATTACAGAGTCACGCGGTTTCCTTGTTTTAGCGAGGGTTTTGGTTCAACTGTTTGGCAGTATTTTCGAGTAAGTTATGCTTATTGAAATAGATATTTGGTTTAATCCTGTATCATAGTGAGTGATAATGCATAGTTTGAGGTGGATATAGATGTCTGTTTGAAGTAATTATGATGATAAGAATGCCTGTTTATGATGTTGAACAGAAGTTTTGGTTAGGGCATTAATTTGGTCATATTACGCTGTTTATAGATAAAATGTCAGAGACATTTGTGCTAAAATTGTTTTATGCAACATTTTCTTTCGTCATATTTCGGAAAAGATATTTTGAGGGATTGCAAAGATAATTTAAGGATTAATTATCCCATTTTGTATTTCACACACATGTGAAGTAAAAATGTATCTTGACGTTGAGGGCAGTAAGATGTAAATAAGCTAGCAAGATGGCGGCGCCCATAGTTGATTCCTAGATGTGAGTTGATGATAGTTTTATACACCTTGGGTGTATGATATGAAGAATATTGTTGATATTTTCCTGTGGTGTTTATGTCTCGCTATTTACTATTAGCTGTAGATGATATGAGAATTTACATTAGTGTGATTTAGAGAGCAAATACTTGTAACTGTTATTGTTGTTACATTATTATAGGGGCAAGATCAGGACTTGCATGTTGCAGCTTCTGTTGCTGAGCTGAGTTGATTGCTGGTAGTTTCTTGGTGTCTCCCTTTTCCCCTTCACTTCCTTCTCCACTGTAGTTGAGAGCTTCAGTGGTTTATTGCTGAAGACTTTGGGTATGTTTTAATGATATTCTGGTAAAGTTTGCAACAGACTTTGTGTAACTTTACTCAGTCTAATATTGCAGTGTGTTTAACAATTTATATGTATATTGATGTTATGGGACAATTTTATATTTGTTCCATCGTATTATAAATACTTAAAGATAAATACATGTATTCTTGTTTGTCTGATGCAAGTATGATGCTCTGATTACTGTTTGAGATTCTTACAGCTGATTTGATGTTTAGATATAATTATGTCATTCCAGTTAATGATTATAATATTTGATTTCAGTGATTTTACAAGAGAATCAAGATGAAACAGATTTGATTTGGAGATCAAGTTGTAATTACTTAATATGACATTTAATCAAGAGGATATACAATATCTCTGTTTAGTAATTACTTTGATTTATTTCATTGATATAATCATGTATTTGTGAAGATGACATTTGTAATTGTTTGAAATACTAAAACATGTTTTGTTTTATTATTCTGCCAATTGCAGGGTTTTTTCCCGTTTCTGCGTGCATGAATCACCGAGAATCAACGGTTTATGAATTAAAGCACCGGTTACGCTAACACACGTTTCCCGAGTTTCATTTATCGTCTCACACGTACTACGACATATATATATATATGCACCAAGGCAATGTATTACAAAGAGTTGATATTAATCGCAACTTATTTGCAATTGATTTCAATCGGAACTCTATTATTTGATTAGAGGACTTGCGATTGATTTGGATCAATCGCAACTCTTTGTAAGCCAGGCCCCAGATGATAGTGTACATGTAATAATAATGTTGTTTACCTAGGGAAGTAGCCTCATCATCATGAACGCTGTTCTTATAGGGCCGTGCAATTATTACCCAGCAATTGCCAGATTACACGCGGATGGAGAGTGTCATAATGTGAATACATTTCTTGACGGCCTGAAATTCTAGAACTCGATCTTTAGATTAAGAGTCGAGTGAATAGACCTCCATAACACGACACATCAACATCTTTTGCCCCCCCCCCCCCCCCCACCAAAAAAAAAACTCTAAATGTTGACCCACTTTTGACGATCCAGCCACTGACTGGACGAGTTCATGATTTATTTTTGGAACGCTACAGAAAAGATTGGCATATCTCATCCGAATTGGAACGCTACAGAGAAGATTGGCATATCTCGTCCGAATTAGAACGCTACATAGAAGATTGGCATATCTCGGCAAAATTGGAACACTACAGAGAAGATTGGCATATCTCGGCCAAATTGGAACACTACAGAGAAGATTGGCATATCTCGGCCAAATTGGAATACTACAGAGAAGATTGGCATATCTCGGCCAAATTGGAACACTACAGAGAAGATTGGCATATCTCGGCCAAATTGGAACACTACAGAGAAGATTGGCATATCTCGGCCAAATTGCAATACTACAGAGAAGATTGGCATATCTCGGCCAAACTAGAACACTACAGAGAAGAGTGGGATATCTCGGCCAAATTGGAACACTACAGAGAAGATTGGCATATCTCGGCCAAATTGGAACGCTACAGAGAAGAGTGGGATATCTCGGCCAAATTGGAACACTACAGAGAAGATTGGCATATCTCGGCCAAATTGGAACGCTACAGAGAAGATTGGCATATCTCGGCCAAATTGGAACACTACAGAGAAGATTGGCATATCTCGGCCAAATTGGAACGCTACAGAGAAGATTGGCATATCTCGGACACATTGGAACACTACAGAGAAGATTGGCATATCTCGGCCAAATTGGAACACTACAGAGAAGATTGGCATATCTCGGCCAAATTGGAACGCTACAGAGAAGATTGGCATATCTCGGACAAATGGCCCCTGTCACGATGATGACTTTCCCTTTCAGATCCACCTCGGGAAGGTCTGGCTGGGAGCTGAGACTGGAACCCATGTTGGGTTGGGTTAGGTTAAAGTCAGCATTCCTGGGGAAAATAGTCAATGCAAAACCTCAGTATGTCGTTCTATCTCATTGGGTAACACAGTAATGGTTCTGGAGGGGCGCTTACTTGGGGCTAATGTACCTCTTTCCTCCCCAACAAAAAGAGTAAAACAATGAGCTCCCCTTCCAACAAAAAACAAAGATTATAAATGTATGTTGGCGCTGCACAAGTAAAGTATGAATTCACGAACCTGGGGTCGCCAAAAGCCCCCCAATATATATATATATATATATATGTATTCTTTTAATAAAACTACTGACAATAAAGGCTCATAAGGATCCAGGAAGGGTCAAACCAACTCCCCCGTAATACATAGTCTTACAAAGGAAAAGGGGAAATGGAGAAAATTAAGAAAAAGGCGAATAGGATTTCCTAAATCGAAGGACCGGGCCCCCCCCCCTTCTTTCTGACAATCCGGTATGGATCAATCCGCCCTAACCATCGCATTCAGATGTGCCTGACAGGAAGGTGACAGTGGTAAAAAAAAACAATTTGTAACTACCTGCCAGCAACATTATTCCATATTGCATTTCGTCAGACTCGCTATAAATTACAAATTGTGAAACTACACTTAAAGAGCAAGTTGAGTTCTGGGAAAGGTAAACATATCATTTGTGAACGTTTCGGGTTTTTTTATGTTAGTGTGGAAGAGCATCATAGTAAAAATCATCTCTTGAAAATATCTCATATTCGAAATGGCCTTTAACAGGTAAAATTTGTTAAACACAATCTCAAGTCACAGTGTAGTCCCGTGTACACATATCTGTGTACAAAGCATGGGATCTTTAGCAAAACTGGGCAGTTATTATAATAAATAATAATAATACATAACATTTATTAGGCGCTTAATACTGATGTTTCTAAGCGCACAGTGTTCTTATCATAGTTAACACGAATACATATCTGCTAAACGATCGGCCTTTTCCAAATCACTTCCATACAGTTTCTTTCACAATGCAATCGAATGACCTGAACTTTATCTGTATATCCCTTATCGGTCGTCCGACAATGTTCTTGTATCCCGGTTTCATATACCACCAACCGTATAGAGTTGTATTCCATTCCAACCCTATTTTTTTGGTAAACAATTGAGTAAGTCTTGCATGGCTGAAACTAAATTGCAATGAGGGCATTCTCGAATAGGTTAGGTGTAGACGTCCATGACGAGTACACTTTATAAACGTAAATCAATCTACTTCAATAAATGCTCACCACTGTATTTTTCCCCCTCGTTATTATAGGTGTCTTTTAGCATGCATATTATTCGATTTTTATGATAGTTACTATTTTATACGTCAATATGGTACTCTACAGCCATGTATGTTATATTGCATGTTATATTGTATGTATGTGACAACATGAAGCTTAACGCTGAATCTTGTTTTAACATGAAATTGGGATAGTTAAGTTCGTAGCTTAAAACATGAAGATTCTGCAAAATATCAGGCAATATTACATTGCTATACATGACTGAGGTATTCCACGCATGAACTCAAAGCAGTTCAATTCGCAGGGCTGCACAAATATAACGCATGTTCAAACATTTAACACCAAAGCTGAGACGATATATTGTGAGCGTAAAGTCTTCCTGCATTTTTGTATCACTACAAACACACTCCAGCCCATTATTGTTATTGCCCATAGAGAGTTGAAACTCTCAATTAGTAGAAGTAGCAGAAGTAGTAGTAGTAGTAGTAGTATGGCGGTGTGACCAAAGTTCGCGCGTGACCAAAGTTCGCTTTCTCAAAAAATCGGTAAGATTTCGAAAATCTGATATCACCAATGGAAAGAGGGTCATAAAATTACCCTGAAACGAAATTTTCTTTAGAATTGGGTGCGAAATTGTGAAAATATTGACAAAAGATCGGCAAATTTTGCAGTTATTTGCGTCCGTTCCGAAAAATTATCAACTTACCGATAAGGGTCTGGAAATCTTCATTTTGAGATCAGAAATCCTAAAAATTGTAAGTAAAGAGTGGTACTAACTGATTGTACGATATCTTGCCTTGCAAATTATGATATTACCTTATTTTTGATGGATCGCATTTTTTGATAAATCAACTGTAAACCACCGTGCGTGAAGTTAGGTCTCATTGTTTTTATGACTTTTTTAGATGCAGCGCGCACGCACGATCGGACATCGAATTTTTAGATCGCGATATCTCCGAAATCCTTCGACGGTAAATTTTTCTAGTTGAACCAATCTGTAGTAAAAAACTTTGCTGTCCATTTGGTAATAATTGAAATAAATAAACTTGTGTAGAATGTGAGAAATCATAGATCGAATATCACATTTTGTAAGCTGTTCTAAAATGTCCGCGAACTTTGGTCACCCCTTCATAGTAGTAGTAATAGTAGCAGCAGCAGCAGCAGTAGTAGTAGTAGTAGTAGTAGTAGTAGTAGTAGTAGTAGTAGTAGTAACATCAGCGGTAGTAGTAGTAGTAGTTGTTGTAGTAGTAGTTGTAGTAGCAGTTGTAGTAGTAGTTGTAGTAGTAGTAGTAGTAGTAGTAGTAGCAGCAGCAGCAGTAGTAGTAGTAGTAGTAGTAGTAGTAGTAGTAGTAGTAGTAGTTGTTGTAGTTGTAGTTGTAGTAGCAGTTGTAGTAGTAGTTGTAGTAGCAGTGCAGTAGTAGTAGTAGTAGGAGCAACGGTAGTAGTAGTGGTAGTAGTAGTAGTAGTCATAGTAGTAGTTGTAGCAGTAGTTGTGAAAATAGCTGTAGTAGTAGTTGCAGTAGTAGTTGAAGAGTAGTTGTTGTAGCAGTTGTAGCATTAGTTGAAGTGTAGTTGTAGTAATAGTAGTAGTAGTAGTAGTAGTAGTAGTAGTAGTAGTCGTAGTAGTAGTTGTAGCAGTAGTTGTGAAAGTAGTGTTAGTAGTAGTTGCAGTAGTAGTTGAAGAGTAGTTGTAGTAGCAGTTGTATCAGTAGTTGAAGTGTAGTTGTAGTAGTTGTTGTAGTAGTAGTTGTAGTAGTAGTAGTAGTAGTAGTAGTAGTAGTTGTTGTTGTTGTTGAGTTTTTATTGGGTGGCTTGTTTAGCACTACGCTATAATCAGCATCATGTTACATTACACAAATTTAGAAACAATACATTATCGGATATACAATCATGTTCAAATGAAAGACTGATTTTTATTTTCATAACGCAAGTCTGTAGATAAATGAAAAACATCGTGCGTTGCGCGTTGTCTCTGTTTCAAACTGCATAACATTCATCCTACTTCAAACAAGCAAACGGACAGTCATTTTTCATCGCTGTTTCCAAAGATTATGATATTCATTGAATCATTTACAAACTCGAAAAATGAATGCACAATGATAATACATACCCCGATCATTTCGTTGTTGTTGTAAGCACACAACCAGCCAATTTAATATTGACTAGCATTATGTTTCGTTGTACGGAGACGGCCTACATGAAATTGGTTTAAAGGTCGGTTTATGGTTTGCACAATGGACCCTTGACAAATAAGCTCTGTCCTGCTGCTGCTATAACTACTATTACTATTAGGCCTACTTTTACTACTTCTACTACCACTACCCCTACTCCTACTACTACTACTACTACTACAAATACTACTACTACTACTACCACTTCAACTACTACTACTACTACGACGACGACGACGACTTCGACGTCGACTGCTTCTACTACTACAATCATTACTACTACTACTTCTACTACTACTATTGCTACTACTACTACTTCTAATAAAAATATTATTAATATTGATATATATATAACGTTCCAATTGGATACAGCAGTATACATGTATGTGTGAATACAACCTATAACGTGGGAGTAAATTAAATTCTCATCCTTTTCCTTTTCTGAAGAGTTTCATGAATATAATAATTTTGTTGTCCCTTTAATAAATTGCTATCAAAACAGCTAGAACTTTCGAACTTTAGTTTCGAAAGCATGTGAAAAGGAGCTAGTCCCTATAATTGTATTGTACGATATTGTATCTCTTTCAGAACACGTGGGCCCCGTTTCACAAAGCCTCCTTTCAATGACAAATGACAAAATTCAGTAACAAATCTGCTGATAACCAATCAGAAGCAAGGATTTCAGTAGCTTATAACAAAAACTGGCATTTGTCACTGATGACAAGTTTTGTGAAACACCCCCCCCTGAACGTATTTCCGACCACGGTCCAAAGTCCAGGCTATTATGGTTTCTTTGTCAAGGCAATATATTTATAAAGTAAATATCAAATATCCGTGGTTTGTAAACATAACCTGTGCTTGTTATCAACTTGAACTTTCGAGGATCACTCGTGATTTTAAAGTGACTCGGTAACTTTGCCTCAGATTCTGAAACAAATCCTGGGGGGGGGGGGGGTGTTTCACAAAACTTGTCATCAGTGACAAATGACAGTTTTTATTATAAGCTACTGGAAACGCACCCCTCTCAAAAAATGAAATGAAAGCTCTTATTACCAATCATGTGAAAGGATATGTTTTGACTAATACGTGATGATACCAATTTTGCCGGGAAACCGCCTACTAATATATTTGGTTAATTATTATCTATCCAGATATATTAAAATATCGCGTGGTCCCATATACATCTTTCTATGTACGGTGCTTGTAACATTACAAAGACGGGGCCAAATTTCTTATCATTTTGATGATTCCAAAACCTTGCAGTACACACCAATACTTATATATGCTAGATGATCAACCATTTCTGATCGATTCCACAACGTTTCTTCCACAATGCATTCACATGACCACCAAACGGACTTTAAATCGACTACAAACCGACCGACCGATTCTTGGCTATAGAAGTAATGACATATTTCGTTCGGTCTGTTGTCGGTCCGGTGTCGGTCCGGTGTCGGTCCGGTGTCGGTCTTGTCGGTGTGACTAAGGTATGAGATCATTTTTTGCCGCAGCCCGAAGGTGATCTGTGACCCTAGACGAAGTCGATATGCAAAGTGCAGCGTTGAGAACACCAAGGAGCTATAGTTGTATCAGCGACCGTGACCGTTTCCATCTCCCTCATATCATTTATTTATCCCTATCTCTCTCTCTCTCTCCCTTTCTCTCTCCCTCTCTTTCTCTCTCCCTCTCTTTCTCTCTCCCTCTCTTTCTCTCTCCCTCTCTTTCTCTCTCCCTCTCTCTCTCTCTCTCTCTCTTTCTCTCTCTTATTATATAAAGCATATGAACATAGTATATCGTACGCCCTTTCAAAATATATTTATGTAATCTTAATTTATTTGTGCAGATGACTAATGTGATGGAATGGAAACATGAAATTCATCCTGTCCGGCTTAGGTTCCGTGCGCTCCCTATTATACATAAAAATGTTATCCTGTATTTCTTTCGTATTTCTTACCCGTTTACCTTTAGAAAGCCAGGCATACATAACATATTAATACAATTTTAACATATATCGTGATAGAAGACTGTCGTAAATTGGTCGTAAAGTGGTAAACACGTCGTACGGAAGACGCGTCGTAATTACGACGTCATCATGACATCTTTAAAAGACTATTTTTTCCAAGATAATTTTGTCGCATTCATGCAGTGACGATGTCATTATGACGTCTTTAAAAAAAAAAAACTAATTTTTCCAATATAATTTGTGTGGATGATATAATTTAATGTAAATAATTATACGAAACGCATTCTTGTCAAATTTCAGACTACGTTTAGTTCATGAAGCATTTCTTCTGTGACGTAATCCTTGAGACAGTCTAAGGTGTAATTCCATAGGATCTCCTGTTTCGCCTCGTCTCTAAAAGGAAAATGAAAAGAAGGATAAAAAGACGAGGTTTTAAGGGCTAAACCTTAAACTTTTATGGGACATAGCACATTCCGCGTTTTGGTGTTGTAACGCTAATGTTTTTGAACTACGAAAAGATGTCGGTGAGTTCAAAATGTTTTATGAATGTATGATCAGGATGAACACGAGAAAGACACATTGATTAAACATGTTTTAGGGAAAATTAACTGTTAGGCATTATGTTTTAGCATATAGTTAAGCATATTTTAGAATATTACATTACTTGGCTGTTGTTAAGCTGATGGATGTCAATATATTCTTTTTTAAGTAGGAGGTTGTCGTGGTCCCCAAATTCCAAAATCATAATTAATATAATATAAGGTTTACCTTGGCAGAGCGGTGAGAGTCTGTGGCTTCGAACTCTCAAAATACAGCGCTGTCTTCCCATCGTACACCGGGTTAGCCGCGGCGTGAAGTCCCGTCAACGCTCCGTCGAAAGGATTTCTCATCATTCCTATAGTGTATAAAGTAACAGAAAAATGTCTGCAAAATAACCAAACACTTTTATTTGATACGTAAGCACTATAATTTGCTGAATAACGGAAAAAAATCATCGACTCCAAACCGATTTAATTTTCCCTCTCCAAACAAGCATTAAACCCCTCGTAATTTAGATCCTCGGCCATTAAATTAACATGTTCATATTAAATGATATCACATTTTGTTCCAAAATAAGATCGATTTACCACTATTAAATATGCATCCGTTTCATGAGCACGTATCCAGTATTTATATTTTGTCTCCATGTACTTCACAATTTTGTCTGCAATGACCTTTATCTGCTCATGCTCAGACTGCAACTATGAACTGGCTTATCATCAAAGATCGACGATGTTTGTTTTCTTTTTCTTTCCAGTATGGATTTTTCCAGTAGTGCAAATAGTAATTTACCAAATTTGAATGGCCCTATAAAGAGTGGCATACTGAATTACTTAGTTGCCGTCAGGAAAATCTTGTTTTTTCTTGTGGCTGGCTGACAGGGGCGCTTGTGCACATCATAACACCAGATCGAATGATCAAGAACCCACGTTTTTGCCATTAGTATAAATGGTAATTTTGTTTAAAGAGAAGGTTGAGTTCTGAGAAGAGGTAAAACATAATTTGTGAGCGTTATCATTCGTATTATGCAAGTGTGGAAGAACATCAGATAAGACATGTTCTCTGAAAAGCATGGCTCTTCAAATGCCTTCATATTCTAAATATGTCATGTACATCGTAAAACTCGGGGGGTAGGTTTTTTACGCCACGTGTTCGTGTAGTCCCATATACATCTTTTCGTGTACAGTGTTTTTAACTTTATCAAGACTTGGCCAATTTCTTATCATTTTGATGATTCCAGAACCTTGCAATACACACAAATTCTTATATGCTAGATGATTAATCTTTTCTGGTCGATTCCACACCGTTTCTTTCACAATGCAATCGCATGACCAGAACTCAACTTCATCTAAAGAGTGGCATACTTAATGACTTGGTCGCCCACAGGAAGATCTTGGTACTTCGTGTGACTGGCTGGTCTTCCCTGGAGTTGATTTCTGTAGCAACGACCCCAGGATGAACAGAAAACACGCTGACCTTTGACCCCTTCAATCTTCTCGCTAAAGAAAACATCTGCATAATCTATGGAGGAAAAAACAATTGAAAAAAGGTCAGAAAACTAAACCAAAGGCAATATTTTAAGAGACTTCTTCCAGTTAAGTGCCGCTTCATGGTGATGAAGATAATCGCACGACAATGGCAATTAAGTCATAAAGATATTCTTTAGGTAATACAATTTGCCGGGTATTGAAAATTAATTTCTTGACAATCTTTGTAATCTATTTACTAATATATACATATATTTGCATCCATGATCATACATCAACTCGTCTTTAAAAAAATTCACGTTTATTTGACGAAATTTGATAGGGCTCTAAATAAATTATGTTCAAGACTCTCAAGACTTCCCTCTCGCTTTCGATTTTGCATGCACATGTCTAAGGAGTTAGGTACTCGTATCGTTAAGTTATAGATATACATACACCTGGCGGGGGAGATTTAGAACACAGGCGAATATGACACAAGACGCCTAACCAGCAAATCACAAGTTTAATATTACTATGTACCCTAATAGGAGATTTAGTTTATAGTTAGTAGTAAGTTCTCGTTGACCTTGTACTTGACCTTGAAGTAAAACCCGGAATTATTTTATTGAACTTATTGAATACAATTTTCTTAAGGTCATGACACTTAAAGGGAGAAGGTCATCACTTTCCATGTGCATTAGGTCATAGTAAACTGACACCAGACTTGGTGGAAATCTTGCACACAGAATATCTGTAGTCTCATAATAATAAAATACTTTCTCAGAGAGTCTTCGGGGGAGGAAAATGTAATACATGATCTTTCCACATGGGACCATTAGTGGAAAATAACGAGCATTACATAAGGCCTGTTGGACATATAAAACTGAATTTGTTTCGATCCTGGTGATCGACAACACATGTTATTATAGGCTAACACCCGAATGGTGTCGAATTCCCAATGAGCGCCAATTTATATATGCGTGACACTCACCTGGTATAATTTTGTCGTTCCATAAACAGTCATCTTATCTTTCTCGTTGAAGCACTGTATATCATGAGGGTCCCATTTTGAGAACCGATGCATCAACGACGATATTAAAACGATCCGTGTATCGTTACCTGTCGCCTTCAACACCGGAAGTAAATACAGGATCAACAGGAAGTGTGACAGATAGTTGACCTGGAAGTGAATCTCGAATCCGTCAGCGGTTGGTTCTATATTAATGACCAAAACAAAATACTTATCTAGAAGTGAGGATGATTATAATGATAAACATTACTTTTTTCATAAACATATATGATTTGATTTAATTTGGTTGTATTTATTAGATTGATTTAAGTATCATCGTTTCAAACCTATAGTTTGTCGCAAATAAGTGGCATTGATACAATTTTTTCCACTGCGATTATGGAAGAATGAATATAATGGAGGGCATTATACAAAGACCTACCTTCAACACCAATACGGTAAGCAATGACATGATGAAGATTGCTTGACTATACAAAATAAATAATTTAAACAAAAGGAAATATTCCTTTCTGTCTCTTCCTTTCTCCATCGTACACACCCACAACACATAAACAAACTACAGCTCTCTCTCTCTCTCTCTCTCTCTCTTGCTCTCTTTGGCTCTACCTGAAAGCCCCTCCATGTTTGACTCTCCCTTTCTTTGTCCGGTAATCGATGGTTACTCTCGTAATTATGCTGTGCCGCGCATTGATATTGAGGAAAGTCAATGGTAAATCGCAATGAAAGCCTTGTGACTCAATTAAAATAACGGGTTTTGAAAACGGGTCTTTGTTTGTGGACCATTTGTACTTCTGATTGGCTAACATATTTCATTCTTATGATAATAGTCATAATAATTGTAATAATGATGATAATAAAAATGATAATAATTTTGTTTACCAAGGCATGCCCGGGAAACCTCATCACCACACTAACCTGTTATTCATGAGGGCCCTGAAATTTCACACCAGCACTAGCCAGGTACCCATTTATACCTGAATGGAGAGTGACAAATGTCTTGCCAAAAGATCCTCCATAGCCTTGCACTACGCCAATAACAAAGGTCAAGACAAGTCTTTATCTCACACAGGCCGGGCCGGGCAAGTATCATAATCACAGAAACGTAAGTAGAGCTGCAGAACAGAGAGCAAGACGCCCTCTCACACCAATTAGCCTGGCGGAAATCATCGAAATCGATAGATAGCGCCAACAAACTAAACCCAACAACAACAACAACAACGATTGTGTCGGGCTGGGATTTAAACCCTAGACGAAATAATACATCTTGATACATACCATCCGGCCCCCAGGCCATTCCAGCGTTGCATAGGAGCACGTGGAGAGAATATCCCTTGGCCTTGTACTCCTTAGCAAAGGTCACAGTACTTGCCAATGACCCGAGGTCAAGGGGCATGAACTCTACATCAAGTTCATCAGCCTGTATAAGTAAAATTGGGAAATAAGTTTTATCATTATTGCGAGTGCTCTCACTTGTTTCCAATTTCAGGCAATATATTATAATTGTCGGTTGTTTTGCCAAAGAGATACTCTTTGGTTTTGCCTAGATCATGGCATGAATATGTTGTAACTATAAATGTTTCATTGTATGCCCTCCTTCATCATTTCTCTACGACTTGTGCAATTTTGTTTTAAACAAATATTTTAGAACTTTGTTCGTGACACAATCACTTTTGTTGAATATCGTTTACGAAATATATCGTCAATACAATAACCATACCACCAGAGGGGTATAAGAGAAAGTATTTCTCACCTTGATAATAATCTTGGCATCTTTCTCCGAGGACCTTTCTTGGATGTGTTCCTCTTTCATTCGTTGTATAGCCTGCCAAAGAAATGACATTTTTAAAAAGAAAGACATTTTTATGATTACTTTAACATCCACATATAACATAAAAACAGATCCCAAAGGGAAGTTATGTTCTTTGTAATGGTGTATACTTTCTATAGTTATGTTCTTTGTAATAGTGTATACTTTATATAGGACTATAAGCTATATATACTCATATGTTTCACCAATGTGTGCAGACTGAAACAATTCATTTATTCAGTAATTAAAAACAAATTATGATTAATGATTTTAAGTAATCACACACTATTAGTGTAAAAAAATACAAGTCTCTAAACAAAAGTTATCAAAGTAATTATTTCAAAATTATACCTGATTCGCTTTTTCTTCTGAACGGCATGCTAGAATGACCTTTGACCCGAGTTGGGCAAGAGTCTTCGCTGTCTCATACCCAATTCCTATAGGTGAGAAGTATGATTTCATTATTGAAAGAAGCAGAAAAAAATTAGGGGGTTTTAGATATATCACAGCACGGTTTTTGCTATAGCGTGAACATAAGAAGAATCCGCTTATACCGTCCTTAAGTGTACAACAATAATGATTTATATCATTTGATGGAAGAAAACAAATCCTAATTTACGTAGACTATGTGGAATATATATAGTTCTTTTATGATTGTATCATTACAAACTTCTGCATCCGTTAAATTACTTTGGAGTTTTATACTGTACCATTTCATTAAACATTACTTTCTTACCTATACAGACCTACTCAAGAAGGATACGGGACTTGAACTGTCAGAGGTAAAAGCAGCCATGCTGGACAGGAATGTGTGGAAGGCCATCACATCTTGGGCAGTTGACCCGACTTAAGTAAGTAAGTATTACAAGCTTCATATACCGGTAGGCGTATAACCATTTTTCTCCCGATACACGTCTTATTTATTTTACTACTCTGTCTTGTATACTCTCAGCGTTTTTGGTTTTTATCCGTTCTATGGTATACACGTTTTAACATCAACCTGTAATGCGAAAATGTGATTTTAAGTTATGCCTTTAACTTACCAGTATTTGCACCTGTGACTATAATCGTCTTCCCTTTCAGTTCAATATCAGGAAGCTGGGGTGGTGTACCAAAGCTTGCCCCCATTCTGAGGGGAAAGGGGACACATGGACTGATAGCTATTACCAGTATCCTAAAATGATTTTCACGGGGAATCTTTAAAAGCAATACAAACAAAAGAGGTTTTTAAAAAACACGTCTACCAATCAAGAGATAAATCATTTTATCCACAGTATGGGTTGACACCCAGGGGTATATAAGGTAGGACGAGAATATAGAGAGCACACTGATCGACGCTATATGTTTAGTATCATTGGAGAGTGTATGTTTTCCTCCTTAAAATGATACCCCATTTGCGTAGTGAATTCCATATTGCGATACCAGTGCTTACCAGTGCCTTTTGCAACTTTTCACTTATGACCCTGCCCCTTATTCTGATGTGTTGCTAATTCCATGGCTGCAAAGTCATAACACATGTGGCGTCATTTTAAAGAGGGTTAAACGTATTGTTTAATGATACTAAGCAAAGCGATAATTATCACATGACAAAAGAGATATAATTGATCATACTTGAGTCTCCAAACTTTTTAAGAGGGGTTTATTATAATGTTAGTCTGACTTAAGAGTACAGGCATGTATGCTTCTCAAAACTATCTTTAATAGATTAATTCAAAGTAAGCTGGAGAGTGCACAAGTAACGGTAAATACTCAACGCACACTCAGCTAACGCAGACAAGACATCTGCCCCATACACACTCCCACAAACATATCAACTAAGTGTTTTCACTACACCTCAAATAAGAGTGCGATCGAATTACAGTCATATTGTAAAAAATAATTGGCCTAAACCGTTTTAAATATACACTTTACATTAGACCGTTGAGGTGTATGAAAAACGAAAGGGTAATTTAATATACCTACCTTTGGACTGTAGCGTACGCCTTGTGCAGTTTGGGCTTCAACGTACCTGTGTTTGTTCAACCAAGCTCAAGTTGAGAAGTAATCACACTAATAAAATCAACGAATTGCATGGTGATTGTAGATATTGTTCGTTTGTTCAATATGAACTTTGATCGGGCCATCTTATTTTTCTCTCTTTCTCTCTCTCTCATTGTCTCTCTCTCTGTCTGTCTCTCTCTATCTCTGTCTCTCTCTATCTCTCTCCCTTTCTCTTGTAATTTATTTTTAGAGGGCGCCTGCTCTCTAAGCGATTAAGTATCTTTTAGTTTCTAATCAGACATGCTGCGAAACTTCGGCATTTTTTTAAAATGATGAATGTAAAGTGTAATGCACTATTATGTATATATCTAATAACACAGAGCTCAGTGAATACGCGCAGGACTTTTGTTGCGTGCATTTGTCATTCATTTACACGTACACACAAAACGAGGGGGGAAGTGACTTTTTTGCGCCATGTCCGAACAAGCCTTTACTCGTCTCAGTGAATATAATTGCAAGAAAAAAGAGTTGCCAAATTGAAGTTTAAAGTTTGCAAAACAATCAAGGAGAACACAGCATTGTCCATTACGATATGTGCACAAATTACAATGGTGCATTACGTAATCACCGTCATGATTTCTTTTGTGGAATACCATGAATATAGGGTTTCGAAATCTCACTAAAGTTGATTTCACGAAGAAAGGCTTGGCGACCTTTTTTTCTGCATTTTTTTTGTCGACTGCCAATAACCTTCGAATTTGCCGACAGGACAATTTCGTTTGGGTTGAGTTAGATTTAATGAAACCGGGGGCAATTGAAAAGTAAGGAATTGGAATTCCCTGCCCTCAGAAATTGTTGCAGCGCCATCTGTGTGAGCCTTCCGCAATTGACTGCAGACGGTCGGTGACAGTGGCTAGTCTTCCTCCATCCTATACATAAGCTTGTAAACATTGGTAAATAAAATGTATTATAATGTCAATAGCACTGAAATGGACGCAAATTGCGGTGAACACACACACGCACATAGTTTGCAAGAATCTTCAATCAACTGAAGGAGGCAGACTTAATCAGAAGAAGAAGAAGATGGGTTGTCATGGAGAATTTGACACGAATAGTGTGTTTACTCGATAACTGGTGTTTCCAATCACCATGCAAGAGTGGACTTCAGTTTTGCGACCGACAGGTCTAATACGTAACTTACACACCCTCCATCGACTTCAGAAAAAAAAAAATCGATAAGTCCAGAATCTGGCCTATTTAATTTTGATCTCCACCACACCAACGCAATATGCGACCTTCCCCTACTTACCTGCTGCCAGCCGAAGATGACGTTCTCATTAAATCAGGACGCTAATCATTAAATTAGGCTAGGCTGGTGAGCGTATATACTTTTTCTTTATTATGAGTTTGTTTATAACGCCACCTTCGGCGGATCGAATCAAATGAAGGGAATATTATATGAAGCACCGGCCAGATTTTGGACTACCAATCCCTAAGAAAAATTTATCATCATATATTTCCCTCACCTAACGCTCTCCTAGACTGAAAGGCAAGTGATGGAGTTTCGCTGTGTGCGAGTTTTGTACACAATTTGATAGTAATTTCACAACGTCCGGTGTAACCAAGGAGGTCTCCCTCGTTTAATTTAGCGACTTATCACGCAGTACAGATGGAAACTGCCGAGAATGTGTATTCAAGTTGAAGGGGATGAAAAATAGGGTCCTACTAGTCACTTTTTATTTTTATTTTTTAATCAATTCTTATTTATTTTGAAAACAATTAACATTTAAATAAAGAAGAGTGCACTTTAATAACACAAGACCGATGTTTACCAATGAGGGTATAAGTTCTTAAAGAGAAGGTTCGTTGATTTAAAAAACTAACATTAATGTCATTATTGCAAAGGTGACACTTTGATTGGCCAAGGATATCAAAAGCCAATGCTTGGAAATATTCGAAGTAATGATTATTAACAATTACAAAACGCTTAGATACATCCCCGACATAGCACCTGAAAAGATTTCCGGTCGCTGCTGAGATATGACGTCACATGTTGAACATGATGTGCACAAGCAGACAATAGGGACTTTTAGATTTGCGTGGACTAATGCTGTGACGTCCATTCAAGGCAGTGCATTAAGAGGACGTCAACCGTAGCAATCCACAATGTCTTCGAGCGAATCTAAAAGTCCCTATTGTCCCATGACATCTCACACAATTTTAGTGCCTGTTTTTATCTTTTCTTCAGTTATTTCTCTTACCCTCAGGCGAAATGTTTAATCTATTGCCTCATTCTAAACCCCGTGCATGGTATTATTTTGATGTAAAGTGCAATGATTAAAAAAAAAGGAATCTGTCACTTGTAAACAAAATAAGAGGCCATTGTATTTTCAGCTGCATACACCGCGCGGCACGTTCGGGGTTTCAAGAGGGAACAAATGACGTCCATGCTATCATTCCGGAGGTTTTTTAATTTGAAAGTGTGGTTTCTTTGATTGTTTATTAACCCCTATCCTGTGTTTTTACAAACAAAAGAATTTAGTTATCAGAATGGGGGTCATATTCCTTTTTGAATGGTGTAAAATTCCATCACATATATATACACCAGACTCATTATAATTTGAGAAATAAAAGCATTGCAATTATGTTCATTCTTTATGGAATGTCGTCTGCTTGGGCAGGGTTGGTTCATATTGAGACGGCATTAAAACATCGTTATTTTCCGGCGAATCTCTCGCATATCCTAGATGCTATATGGAGGTTGTTTTATTTGTATTTTTATAAATCACCCGATATGTAGTTGACCTAAAACTTGCATGATGGCCATCTGTTAGCTTACCAGTTTCTAGTAATACGCTATTTGCCATATTTGTGATTTTCTAAGAACCCGCACTTTAAGGCAGGGTAATATAGTACATAATAATGTGCCTGAAAGAACCCGCATACAGACATAGAATTTGTTCGGTGTATACTTAGGCACAATAGTACAGAGACGTAGAGAGAGAGAGAGAGAGAGGGGGATGAGCGTGGGGAGAGAAAGAGAAAGACAGAGAGAAATTAGATTAAGAAATAGAAAGAGGCTGAGAGTGACAGTGACAGAGAGAGAGAGAGAGGGGGGGGGGAGAGGATGTGAGACGGTTGCAGTCTGAGCATGGGCAGATAAAGGTCATTGCAGAACAAATTTTGAAATACACGGAGACGAAATACTGGATACGCACTCATGAAAGTTATGTAACATAATTCATTCATGCACATTCAGTGCACTCCATGGTACACAGGTGGAAGTGTTCTTTGAAAAGGGGGAACAAAGCCTATTTATATAGCAACTCCATCGCTGTAGGAGTGATTATTTCAAAATGTACAAAGTGGGACCTCTTCATGTTTTGAAGATCTGTGGATATTCGGGGTCATGCATTGCAGTGATGAGGTGCTAACCGTGAACTGTCAATTTTCTGTTGTTGGTGTTCTTGTCGTTGCAGTTATTTCATGACGTACAGGTAAATGAGAATGTATCCAAATAATGTGAGCTGGTGTACTATTTTGACAGTAACATCCATTGCCCCTTTTTAAAATGTGAATTATATTACTGCAATGTACATTAATTTTGTCTGTATAAATCACGCAATGCGCGCTCCATTTATTTTCGAAGACTACATCTTATTCGCTCTTATAACTTTTTGAAAATACATTAGTTACATTTATTTCGTACGAGCATTGTACATGAAAACCGATTGTCACTTGACATATAAAACAATAAGCTAAAAACGAATACAGTACGAAGTCCATATTTGCCAACGAGGAATATTTTCATTCACTTGTGGAGAAAAAAACACACAGGTCATAGGCCATCGTAGGTTCCGCTACGTTGAGATTCTGTACGTGAACGACATGAATTGGTCCGATGCATGCTAGGTATACTACTACAGTAGCTATCCTCCTCTAGCCAACAGAGTGGGAAATATTCATAGGATTGTTTCATTTACAGAGTGACATAACGGTTTTTAGAATACCGTCCCTAGCCTCTCGGGAGAGTTATCCGGATTCGATCCGACAAGGATTGTTTCATTTACAAGCTGCATTGAGTATTTATCACATCTGCATTTGTTAGGTAAGCATTACCATAAACACATTGTCATACTTATATCATGTGCGTACTGAGAGCCACTACTGAAAGAATATATGCTCCACTGCTATTAGGAAATGTGATATTCGATCCATGATTTCTCATATTCTACAAAGAATTAATTAGTTCGATTATTACCAATTAGACTGCAAAGTTTTGACTACTGGTGCAACAAGACAATTAATCGTCAAAGATGCCAGAGATATTGCGATTTCAAAATTCAATCTCGGAGCGGAATGGGCTCCAACTCAAGAAAAGGTCATTACAAAAACGAGACCTTAATTCGCTCAGGGAAGTTTACAGCTGATTTATCACAAAACAAACCCGATCAATCAAGTATAAGATTTCGCAAGTCTAATAATCATACAATCAGATGATACCACTTTTTTTACTTGCAATGTTGACGAAATCTGCTCTCAAAATAAAAAAATCCAGACCCGTGTCGGCACAGGGGCGTCGCTAGACCTTTTTCAGTGGGGGGGGGGGGGGGGGGGGGTGTAGAGGCCAACGATTACCGACAAAACTAGCCACCAATTACCGACAAAATTAAATGTCCCAATATCTACAAATTTAGCGCTATAAACCCGGGGCCGAAGGCTAAATTGTTTTTCCTATGGATTATCTATAGTACTTGCGTATACGCAAATGGTCATTTTCCTCGACGACATAAATATACGAATTATTTCGTCAACTTAGTCAGCATCATAGCTATATATTTGAATGCAGGCGCGGAGCTAGGATCTTATTTTAGGGAGAGGCGCTGGTGAGTAAGCGAATCACTTTTGGGCGCTCATTAGGGGGTGTGGGTGATAGGCCTCCCGCGCAAAGCGTGGAAGCTTAGATGTTCCTTTAAATTATTAGGAAAAGAAGACGATTTATTGTACCGTTCTCGACTGTTAATCGTTGTCTGAATTCAGTTTCTCCCCCTCCCGCGCAAAGCGCGAAAGTTTGACGTTTCATTAAATTATTAGAGGAAGCAGACGATTCGGTGTACTGTTCTCGACTCTTAATCCTATCTGAATTCAGTTCTCCCGCGCGAAGCGCGGAAGTTTTGACGTTTCATTAACCCATTGCGTACGGGAACCGGGTGGTCCCTGTGTAAAGCCAATGGGAATGCAAGAATTTAGTATTCAACAGGTTAAATTATTAGAGAAAGTAGACGATTCGTTGAACCGTTTTCGACTCTTAATAAGCCCTATTTATCTGAATTCAGTTTTCCCTCTCGCGCGAAGCGCGGAAGCTTTGACGTTTCCTTAAATTATTAGAGAGAGCAGATGATTCGTTATACCGTTTTTGACTCGTCTAAATGAAGTTTTTCTCTCCCGCGCGAAGCGCGAAATTTTTGGAGTTTCATCAAAATATAGAGAAAGGAAGATGATTCGTCGTACCGTTTTTGACCCTTAATCCTTGTTTGAATTTAGTTTCCCCGAAAATTTTAAACCTCTGAATTTTTTTAGCTGATATTATAGGAAAGTGAAACTTCGAGAAAATCCAAGTATCGTAGTTGTAGTCACTCTCGAAGTCGTCACAGCGGATAAATAGTCACAGTTCGAAGGGGAAAAAACTTGTCGGCCGACCGACAATATACATCTCACCGACTTCAAACTTCTGCATTGATATAGTAGACCTACACGAGGATTGAGCAAGAATACCGACACAGCTGACCCGACACAGCAACATATTTACCCGTGTCTTTCTTGCTCCCTCGACGAGACGACTCAACCCAACAACCCCCCCCCCCCCCCTCTCTCTCTCTCTTTTACACCCACTCCTCCTCTCTCAGGCTCTTACCTCCCATCTCTCTCCTCTCTTTCATCCCCCGTTTCTTCTGTTTCCCTTTTCTCTTTTTTCTTCTTTTTTTCCTTTTCGTTCTTATCTTTCTCTTCCTTTCTTTCCTCTCCTCCCTCTTTTTCTTTTTTCTCTTTCTTTCTTCTCTCTTCTTTCCTTTCTTTTCCTTTCTTTCCTTTCTTTTCCTTTCTTTCTTTTCTTTTCCTTTTCTTTTTTCTTTTCTTTCCCTTTCCCTCTCTTTTTTTCCCTCCCCCTTTTCTCTTTTTTCCCGACGGCAGCGCAATTTTACCGACAATATCCTGACAGGTGAGGGGGGGGGGGGGGGGTGTCGCACCCCCACCCCCCCCCCCCCCCTTTGGCGACGCCCCTGCGTTTCGAGTGAGTTCATATTTTTTTCGGAACTGACGCAAAAGGCTGCAAAAGTTGTCGATCTTTGTCAATATTTTCATAATTTCACACCCAATCCCATACACAATTTAGGCTCTGGGTAATAGTTCCATCTTTCCAATGGTGGTATCAGAATTTCGCAATATTACCGATTTTCTTAGATGCCGAGGAAAGGTCACGCGTAAATAATGGTCACACCACCATACAAAGTAAATATTTTAATATTATCCAAGCTGATAAGGCGCTAAAACAATAACGGCGATTCGATGAACAAAATGGGTGAACATTTTGCCGTATTTTGGAGGAAAGATATGCCCATAATTCACCATTTTGCAAATATCTTAATCCCTAAATAATGGCCTTTTGGTTATGGAACCAAGGAAAAACATATTTAAAGATATATCTATGCCGAGCAAATTAATTATGTGGGATTTTATACGTATGTTTTACTTGAACCCAGTACTGTTTTATACAGGGTATATGTACGTGGATATAATGTACTTTTTGCTATATGGTACCATATTTTGCACGCATAATTACAAAGAACCTAGCAAACACGCGTCAGGGGATCAACATTTTTGGGAAGAAAAGAGGATATTTTATCAAAACATTTAAGTCTTTTCTTTCACTAGGATACCAATTTCAGTCTTTTCACTAAAATATACGTGAATATTTTCAGTATGCCACCCCTGAAGATATAAAGGATCAAGTTTTCATACATTAATGTATACTAATGTAGTAATGTGAGATTGTTGCCTCCTGTGGCTAGACCTGGGTTTGGTGCAGGCTATTGTTCAGTGTGCACTCAGGCCTCTCTTGCAATGGATTTAGTGAACGCTGGACAATGGCCTGGGCTTGGGTTCGGTTGCAGGAGGTGACAGCTTTCACATTTAATACTGGAGGAGCCATTACTGCAGAGAAGTCACAAGTGGTGCACGTGCATAGTGGGCAATTGAGTTGCATGTGAGTTAATCATTCGATTATCCTTATAAACGTTATATATCACATCAGGCAGTGCTAGATAATGGCCTTTTGTTTATGGAACCAAGGAAAAACATGTTTATAGATATATCTATGCCGAGCAAATGAATTATGTGGGATTGTATACGTATGTTTTACTTGAACCCAGTACTGTTTTAAAGAGGGTATGTATGTACGTGGATATGATATGCCTTTCGCCATATGGAACAACATTGTGCATGCATAATTACATACAACATAGCAAACACGCGTCAGAGGATCATTTTTGGGGGGAAGAAAAGAGGATATTACATAAAAACATTTAAGTCTTTTCTTTCACTAGGATACCAATTTCAGTCTTTTCTTTAGATTATAAATAAAATATGTTCAGTATGCCCCCGCCCTGAAAATATAGAGGATCAAGTTGTCATACTTTAATTTATACTTACAAAATATTTCCTATAATGAAATGAAACAATGACTTCTGTTTTGCTTATCTCCAGAATCTATAATACTGCGATGGACTTCAGATGGCACCAGTTAACGCCTTATCATTTATTGGTAACGGCTTTGGTTGGGCTAGTGGCTGCGTGGTTTGTGAAGCACCTGATGAGGCTACCGAAGAACCTTCCACCCGGGCCGACGGGACTACCCCTCATTGGGGTCATTTCAAAATTTATCGGGTAAATGAATACCTCAGTCACACCGACGATACCGAAAACGAATTGAACCCCCAACATCTGTTAGAATGCCACACAGAATCATGTAAGGGATTTACGTGCAGGGTTTGTAAAAAAGTGCTTTAATGGCACAGTGTGGGTTAAAGGAAGATGCTTTATCCTGGATGACCAACAATCGATCGGTTTGGTTTCCTGATTTAACATGAATCTATCAGTTTGGAGTCGGCTTCTCGGTGTGACTGTGATATACGAATAAAAATATATTAAAGCCCCACTGTACTACTTATAGCTACTTGCGCCCTCTATAAAACAAACAACGGATAATCGGTGACCATTGGTCCCCTATTACCCCCCCCCCCTTTATGTTAATTGAGAGCTGATTTGATGAGATAACCTCCTGTCAGTGACCATGCAGGGAGGTCTAATCCCTCCTGGCCAAACTAGTGTAGGAGGCTTTAAAGAGAAAATTCGCGTACGGCTTCATCTATCTATCATATTTAATTTCATAGGGCAGCCAACAAGTAAATTACTGTCGGTTTTGTGGGAGAGGACTTGCATCTGAGATATCTTAGGCATAAAACCCACATTTTCAGACACCTTTCTGCCCAATTATGAGGTCGTTTGACACCTCGTGATGGAGGCCTGAAAATGTGTATTTCAAGGGGTGGGACCTGGTCCCACTCACCGTTCGCCTAATTTGATTACCGATTATTTTGAGGGTTCCTCAATTTGGACAAGCATCGCTTTTCAGTGGACCCGTCCGTTTCCAGTATGTATTTCTTAATTTCTATAAATGATTATAATTGATCTGTTATGTTTTGTTGGAAACAGAAAAAAAAATTGAATTGAATTACATGCAACCAGAGCCATCTATGCACAGAGTTTGGCCAACTTGGTTTCACTGGGTTACAACATTCTCTTAATTTGTGCTTGCCCAACAAAGCAGTAGTCGCAGTGTTGTGTCCAACTCGAACCGGGTTGGTCAAACTCTGTGAATGGATGGCTCTGCACGCAACCATGTAAAGGCCTATTTCATTTTTTGTTGGGGGTAGCACTTCTGACCCTCTCGCCCTGCTCTCGGAGTGGGCCGACAGGTACGGTGAGATCACGTCCTTCAAATTAGGTCCACAGTTGGTGGTGCTCCTGAACTCTTATGATGCTGTCGCGGAGGCTTTCCGACACCCCGATCTCCAGGGCAAACCCAGGAGCCGCATGACAGAAGAAGCCTCTGGGTTCGGACCTAATGGTAAGAACATGACTTTTTTCATTTTTCGTTTCATTTTATTTCATTCGTCATATAAAAACATACATGATTATAACATTGATATTTACAGATAAGTAAAGAACATACAAATAACATAACGAAAGATAAATATAAAATACAAATGTATATACGAATGAGGAACCAGCAAGAAGTAACAATTAAGTCTTGTGTGGTGCTGGTCCCTTGCGACATCATAAAGAATTTTAACCTTTAACACTTAACACCTTACACCTAACACCTAACAACTAACACCTAACATCTAACACCTGATTGCATATATATATATATAAACTAATAAAATACTATTCACAAAAGCTTAATTGTTTGTTTCTCTTTTAAATGTATTCAGAGTTGGGCTTGCTTTAACTTTTGATAGTGCTTCCTACGTATTTCCTTTCGATTGCATTTGAGTGCATTGCGGAAGTGACCTATTGATATCTCATATTATCATGTTAATGTCCTTTGGAAATGTTCATTTCAGTTTTTAACTGCCAGACACGAAGATCTTAATCAAATCCATTTATCTATCTATTATCTATATATACCAATCTATACCAATAATCTTGCAACACGATTATTTATTGATTTATGATTCAGTCTTCTTTACAAACACAGGGTAGCCCCTATTCAGTGCCACGGGGCCTGCTCTATACCTATTGCACAAAAGGTGGTATTTGCGGTTTCGATGCACATTGTAAGAATGTCATGGTAGAAAAGGGTGAATGCATCATGAACATCGCAAACATTGCGTTACCGGTTGTTGTTGTTGTTGTTGGTAGTAGTTTTATGGCAAACATTCAGTACTGAATATATACGCCATATCTTCAGTAATATAAACAATTCAGTTATCAGTAATAAAAACTGAAATGATAAATTGTAATAATATAATTTACTAGTTTGTGGACTATTTGCCTTCAATTGCTTGATTAATGTCTGTTAATAATAATTTTCCAAATAATAATCTCACGTCTTCTGTAATTCGGTACAACAGCAGGTCTGCTGATTGGGGCTGGACAATCGTGGAAGGAGCAGCGCAAGTTCACCCTCTCAGTCTTCCGCAACCTCGGGGTCGGCAAGAAGAGCTACGAAGACACCGTCGCAGCCGAGATGGCCCAGCTAGGGAGGGCTATCAAAGAGACGAAAGGGTCTCCAATTGACCCCAACATCCTCGTTGGACAAGCAGTAGCCAACGTCATCTGCACTGTCATTTTCGGAACACAGTACAAGTACGACGATTCAGAATTCCAACACGTATGTCTAAGACCTCATTACTCTTATTATTACATTATTTCAAAGAAGAGTTTGAAGAAGAAAAAAATTGTTCCAAATATGCCTCAACATTACATTCAGGTATAGTAACTCTTTAGAGTTGTCACTTTAACTTTGGCATTAACATTTAAAAGAGGTTCACTATACCGGCAGGCCACAAGGCAAACAAAACAAAGAAATACATAAAGGAAATATAGTATATTTTCTATAGAAAATGGCGGTCTTCTCTGTTGTTCGTTTCGTGGACCGTCAGCGTAGTTGGTGTTCGATCTCGTGGGACAATTAGTTCTAGATAAAAATGGATTCGTGATATTCTTGCACTTATGATTGATTTAATCATTGAACATCCGTTTACAATCCTGACTGATATTCATCCCAATGTTTTGTTTTAAGCTTCTTTACTTGATGAACTTCAACATGAGTCGATCGGGAGCAGGAGGCTGGTTGTTTTTTATTCCAATACCAGGGATGTCCAAGGTTCCCTTCGGAGTCATCAAGGCTATGATGACGAATGCTAAGGAATTCTATGCTTTCATCGATCACCATATTGAAGCTCACAAAAAGAATGGAGGGCCCGATATCCCCAAAGATTTCATCGATCAGTACTTGATTAAGTTGAAAGAAATGAAGGTAAATATTTCAATGGACGCACCTGTAAACGTTCACAGGACGTTGTGCGAATGTATTGAGAGCGTTATGTGTTTGCTGACTTGATTGAGGTCAATATATTCCCAGATCGTCTTAATAGATCTTTATCAGGACTTCTAATATATCGTGAAATATTTTAATTCCAGCTTTTAATTTTTTATTCGAGTATTTAAAGCTTATCTGCCATAGTTTACAGGAGGGATTAGATCGCTCTGCAAGGTCACTGGACAGGTGGTTATCTCATCAACTCAGCTCTCAGTTAACATAAGAAAAAGAGGATCATGGGGGACCAATGGTCACCGAATATGCATTGTTTGTTAATAGAGGGCGCAAGTAGCTACAAGTAGTGCAGTGGGCCTTTAAAGGACAATCCCATCCTATGAAATAGATTACAAAATTCAGAGGCGCTGATTGGTGAAAATTCGACCTAAAAGAGAACGACAAACAGCAATGGATTTATGAAAATGCATTGCAATGGATTATGGTTACGGGCCCCGTATTCCTTGTTTGCTAATTCTGGATAACCCGTAGACGTGTTTCAGGTCTAAGATGATGTAGAACCCTTGGGATGTAGCCATATGAAGTGTCTACGAATGCAGGAGGTCAATTTTTTCTTGAAGAAAAGGCGAAATATGCCGGGAAATTGTGACAAACCAGCAGAATTAACTCATATCCTGCCATGAGACTGCTAGCGCGCTATTGTTATAGTGCTCTGTGCACGCGAGCACGCTATCGATTAAATGCCACGTTCATGCTAGCGAGCCACCGCTACTCTGCTTTGTGCACGCAAGGGCGCATATGTAATAACAGTCATTGTTCATGCCCATTGCACCGTGCTGAGTACTTTTGCAGCGCTATTGAAAGTACCATCGCGTGCATCAGATTATCGGCTTTGGATTACGCGACAACAGTCAGATTGGATTTTCTCGAGTAATTTAGCAATTTGTTTTTTGTAAAGATTTAAATAACACGCTCTTGAACCAACCTTAAAATTTACTTGGCACACAGGAGATTTGTGGCTGGCACAATAGGGATTAGCACTGTGGCACTGGGTGCATTGTACGGGTGGCAGCTTAAGAGTTAAAGAAATAAAAGAGGAAAAGAGAGAGATTGAATGGGGGGGGGGGGTACCTCGAGGTACCAGTACCTCGAATGAGGTAACAAGAGCGTAATCTTTGAGCTGTGTCCAAAAGGTAGTTCACTAGGGTTGGGCAGGAGGGGGGAGGGGCACTGGACGGATATGCCCCCTCCCGCAACCATTATTAAAAAAAAAACATAAAAGAAATGCCTTTGATGTAGAGAGTAACATATAATTTACATCATATGAGGGCATCGTGTTTAAACCAAACATGTATGCCCCTTCTGCTCACCAGGGAACGGAATCTTCATTCAGCCACAATAGTCTTAAAGCCGTCATCTCTGACCTCTTCTTCGCTGGGATGGAGACGACCACCACCACGCTCAAGTGGTGTATCCTCTACATGATGGCCTATCCCGAGGTCCAGTCACGTGTCCAGGCCGAGATGGATCAGGTGGTTGGAAGAGAGCGATTACCAGGGTTGGACGATCGAGAGAATCTTCCTTACACGTGTGCTGTGCTTATGGAGGTCAGTGGCGTATTGGCTTTGCCTTTGGGGAGGGAAAGATAATTCGACGAATGTTTGCGGTTGTCTGCGTGAGTGTATGTGTGTGTGTGCAGGGGCGGATCCAGCCAGCGGTAGGGGAGGGGGCCCAATTTGGGGGCCGATAATTAGCTCAGTGGGGGGGGGGTATCTCGAAAAAAGGTCAACTTACACGTAGTAGTACCACCCCCCCCCCCCCCTGGATCCGCCACTGAGTATGTGTGTGTATGTGTGTCTGTGTTTAGGAGAAATCCACAAAATGAAGATCGTAGAGCGGAGGTCCACGAGACGGAAACTTGCAGTATAGGTGTTCATGCCTCCGGCATAGGCAGAATTTCATATATGGAACTGACATTTTTCAAATTATAGAATTCGCAAAATAATTAAATAAAAAGCATTCATATCTAAGTTTACTAATATAGATTGTCAGTGACGGATGCACGGCCATAACTATCTAAAAAAAAAATACCTCCGATTTTCCTACGTGATAGTTAGATTAAAATTTCAGGAATTACACCAATGAATAATTTTCTATTGATGTCGTATTTGTCTAAAGGTCCAGCGCAAGGGGGCCGTGGTTGCACTGGGGGTGCCTCACATGGCTGCTGCTGACGTCACAATCAAAGGCTACACCATACCTAAGGGTACTATCATCTTCCCTAACATCTTAAATGTGTTGAACAACAAGAACTTCTGGGACGACTCTGACGCCTTCACACCTGAGAGGTTTCTGAGTGATGATGGGAAGTTGATCAAGAGAGAAGAGCTGATATTTTTCAGTACTGGTGAGCGCAATGGGTGGTAATCCCACCGCTGCCACCACTATAAATATAGGGTGGTATTCTGGAAAGCGGACTAACTTTAGTCCATGGATTAATCCTCCGACTAAATAAGGAATGCCAAGTGCCCATATGAATATATTTTGAATAATTTGATATCTCCCCAAATTACTATGATAACATAATTATACCATAGTTATATTGTTGTTTATTAATTATGTTATTACATTTTATTTTAATTTAGTGACAGATTAAATTATTCAAAAACATATTCATATGGACACTTGGCATTCCATACTTAGTCGGTGGAATAAACCATGGACTAAAGTTAGTCCGCTTTTGAGAATACCACCCAATATATTTTATAATGGGCCTAATTATGAACATGTCATTGTGTGTAATCGAAAATATTTGAATAAAAGTACGATATACATATACAGGACGTTGGAGGTGCTGGGTGTTGTATAATATTTACATCTTCTTTAATTACATTTGGGCTGCGAGATGTTGTTTATTTTAGTTTCTTATATGTACCTTGAATTATTTGTTGTTCAAATAATGATCAATATTAACAAGTGACATCATTGATTCTCACTCACTCGCCAACATTTTCGAAACTGGAGATTTCATATTCCGGCCATAAATTTGGGGCCATGTCGACATTGCGCCCTCTACGTCTTCCTGGAAAGTAAAAACTACATTTTCTTCAATTCTGAACCGTTGATCGTCACGATAATTTCCTTTTACGTTATTGATAACCCTTAGCTAATTTTAATGCATTCCTGTCTCATTCCTGCCCACAGTTATACAATTTCCACACAACTGCGTCAGGAGTGTCATTTTTGACAGACATGGCACATAATAAATGTTCACTATCATTATTGTTATTATTATTTCTAAAATTCTATATTTTGTAATTTTTTTCAGGTCGCCGTGTTTGTCTCGGAGAGCAACTAGCCCGGATGGAGACGTTCCTTGGTTTTACCAGCCTCCTTCACCGATTCACCTTCAAGAAGCCAGACAACTCACCACCATTGTCTTTCGAGGCAGTCCTGGGAGGTACAAGGAGTAGCTTACCCTACCTCACCTGCGCTATTCCAAGGGATCCCACTGAAAATTTTGCTTGATTTATTTGTATTAGTTCGCAAGCACAAACCCTGGTCAGTCATAAAAGAGAGTATGCACTATACTATACTATACTAGAGCTGCTCCTGATACCTATATTGACACAACCAGTAGGTAGCTAGGCTAGGCTTCTCTCAAGGCACAATGATTTGTTGATAACGTGTCAAATTAGGGTATGTGCTTGCAGACTAGATTTGTATTGCTTATATTTTTTTCTTAAGCCCCACTGTACTACCTGTAGCTACTTGCTACCTCTATATTGAAAAAATGCCTAAGCGGTGACCATTGGTCCCCCATGATACTCTTTTTCTTATGTTAATGATAGCTGAGTTGAGGGGCTAGCCACCTGTCAGTGACCACGATGAATGGTCTAATCCCTCCTGGCCAAACTAGACAGACGGGCTTTAAAGTACAAAATGCCTGTATGCGTTACAAACAGTAAAACTTAATTAGTGGTATTTTGTTTTTGAAGATCATCGCTTCCTTCGAGAAAAGTGTTTGACCTTTCGCTGTAGATCATTTTTCCACCAATCCGAGGAATCCATTACAAGGGATTCTCAAAGGGACCTACGGCGTGAAGTCCTTGATGAAATTAGAATGGAAATCACATTTGAAAAGAGCAACCTTATCTTTTCGCAACATAACGTTATTTGTATCGATATATCTATTTGATTTCAGTGTTTGTATACATTAAGAGGACGCAAATTAAAGGCTCGTTCTCTCGCAACATTACACGACCATATCTGGACGATCGAGGCTTACTACGATCTTTATTCATTGCTAATGAACAGTCGTAGTTAGGTTTGTTATCAGAGAGTAATTCAGTGCACGTAGTCAGAGTCTAATGGTATATTCTACACAAAATAATACTTCATATTACCGTCTAGCTTTGTAGGTGGCCAAATAATAAAGAGCTCGGGGAGGGGGGGGGGGGGGGGGGTAACAAAACTTGTCATCAGTGACAATTGACAGTTTTTGTTATAACTTATAAGCTACTGAATTTGTCACTGATTTTTGTTATTTGTCATTGAAAAAAAAGGCTTTGTGAAACGGGCCTCTTTTCTATTAAATGGATCCATAACATACGACCAGTTGTGCGCTCTCCTTCTATAAAGTATCATTAATTGTTTTTAAACGTCTCTATGACTCACTCTCATAATTGTATACAATATGGCATAATATCTAAAGATTTTCTGAAGCCATAGGACCAATACCACATAAATAAAGACGGAGAAATATACGGAGACAGTAAAGAGAGAGAGTGAGAGAGTGAGAGAGAGGGGGTAGGGACACACACAGAAGAGAGGAGAGAAAAGAGTAAGAGAGGGGGAAGGACGGAGAGGGAGAGAGAGCGAGAGGGGGTAGAGGAAGATAGAGAGGAGAGAAAATAGAAAGAGAGGGAGAAGGACGGAGAGAGAGAGGCACATAGAGAGAGGGAGTTGGGACAGACAGAGAGGAGACAGAAGAGAAAGAGAGGGAAAAGGGCGGAGAGGAAGAGAGAGGGAGAGAGAAATAAAGAAAGACTCAGACATAAGAGAAAGGGAGGAATAGGGACAAGTGGAGAGCGACAGGCCCTAGCTTCGGTGTATACGCTCTACAGTGTGAGTCAAAAAAGTTTACACCTAGAAAATTGGTAATTATTTTAAAAATCATCTATGAACCGTCCCTGCCTTTCTTATGATTATAACGTGAGTAAAGTATGTACATACGACCTTTGCATTTCATTTTTAACAAAATATCGTGTTAATCATATCACCTCTACCGTGCTGAATCGCGAATCACTTTTATTTCAATTTACACTCAATAACAAAAATGTGGACTATTTTAATTAAGATTGTTCAATATTTATTTAAGATGAAATTTTCGTTCATATAAAACAAAATGAAATGTAAATTAACCCTCTTTAAAATTATATGGTCTTTTTTTTCATCACTGTCGGCTAATTGAATTTTTGTTTTGTTTTCATCGAAAATTCGTTGCAAATTTATCATTGTTACTGATCCCAGAATAAAATAATTATGGAAATCGGCTTCACATATTTATATTCGAGGCGGGCCCATAGATAGTCCTACTCATCTGACCGTAATTGATTGCCTAAATCCCCCTGAGCTTCCGGGGAGCCTGCCCTCTTGACCCTATCAAGTGCCCTAAAGCGGGCCCCTGGATGCTCATTTGACCGTGATTAATATTATTGCCTAAAAACGCTGAATTTATGGGAGCTACGCCCCCATGACTCAACACCAATTAGTGACCTGCCAGTGTCACAAATAAGGTATACAAATTTGCTCATCTGCTCGTAATGAAATGCCTAAAACACCTGCGCTCCGCCCCTTGACCCCCACTGGGGCTTTGCCCCTGAAACCCACACCCATTTACGCTCGCTACCCTCTACCTGGTCGTAAATACTTCAACCCCCCCCCCTAAACAAAAACAATCATCAAACAAAACAATCATCTAACAAAACAGTCATCAAACAAAATATTGATCAAACAAGATAATCATTAAACAAAACAATCAGCAAACAAAACAATTGGTAAACAACATAGTCATCAAACAAAACAGTAATCAAACAAAATAATCATTAAACAAAATAATCAATTGACAAATCAATCATCAAACAAAACAATCATTAAACAAAACAATCAGCAAACAGAACAATCATCAAACGAAATAACCATCTAACAAAACAATCATCAAACAAACTTAAATAATCCTCAAACAAAACAATCATGAAATAAAACAGTCATCAAACAAAACAGTCATCAAACAAAACAGTAATCAAACAAACTTAAATAATCGTCAATAAAAACAATCAGCAAACAAAATAGTCATTAAACAAAACAATCATTAAACAAAACAGTCATGAAAAAAAACTTAAATAATCCTCAAATAAAATAATCAGCAAACAAAACAATCGTCAAACGAAACAATCAGCAAACAATATAATCATTAAACAAAATAATCATCAAACGAAAAACTTATTAAACTAAACAGTCATTAAAAAAAACAGTCATCAAACAAAATAATTATTACACAAAATAATCATAAAACAAAACAATCATCAAGCAAAATAATCATAAAACAAAACAATCATAAAAACAAAACAATCAACAAACGTTATAATCATCAACCACACTTTAATAATCATCAAACACAACAATAATCAAACATAACAATCAATAAACGAAACAGTTATCACAACTCCCGGCCAAAATTCATATTTTTAAAATGTTATTTTCAGTATTCGTTTAAACTTTACCGAGTCTGCTTCTGTGATTTTTCTTCTAAGTTTTAGAATGCCTGTTAATTGGTGTTCACCTAGTACCCTCACCCCTCCCACTAACAACAGCTTGTTACGCCCTGATCTGTTAACTTCTTCGGTTTTATCGTCAAAATAAGAATCAGTCGCCTTAGATTTGTTTCACTTTCCACGGACGTACCGGTCCGTAACTTATTTATTTGTTCATCTAAAATTACAAGCGCGTCATCTGATGATCTTGCCTCCTCAGTATTATATATGTTGGCCTACTGAGCTCGAACGCTGGATAGAAGGATTATAATAGAAAGGAGATAGTTTTTATGTCATGTACAGTGTCTTTGATAGCTGCAGCCATGTAAATTCAAGAATTTTGATGTTTAATAAATTGCAAACTTCTTAAACTTCAAACGAGCGACCAGTGTGATGCGGCAGGAAAGACGGTGCACTCTCCGCTTGTCCAGCCCCATCGTTCAGGCGATGCAGAGGAGCAATTATCCGCTCGAAGTTGGTGGTTTCTGAATGAGCGCATCGCAATATCTTGATAGTGATGCAGTGTAGGCATCGCGTCATTTGGGAATCTGGATCATAACACAGTTTTGGAATATTATTTGGATTATCATACAACGTCGAACATGGTGAGATTTGTTTGATTTATATTGTTGTAACGACATAGCCTACCTCAATGTACAATTGTTCATATTGTAGCATAAGATTTTAAAACTGCCATGAGCTGTATTTAATTATGAGCTACAAATCATATGTCCTGCGCTTGTATACTCTACTTATAGTTTAGGACTAGCCTCGTCATCTCTCTGCTCGTTGTCTGCCCATGTCTCTCCTCAGCCCGACGTAGTTGCCATATTAGAGCTCTAACTTCGACACATTAGGCCTGGACCTAATAGAGGTACCAACAAATCCAATTTATTCATAGTATTTGACCTTCAAACTAATTTTCATTTGACTTATTGCGTCCTCTCATTTACACTCAACGAACATTGTCAATCGTGTGAACTGTTGAACTGCTGGGATGCATGTTCCCGTTTACAATTTTTTGGGTCTTTAAGCCTTTAATTTAATATTAGCCATTTTGAACATGATGTAGTTTATGATTTAGACAACAAACACACATGTATGTATGCACTATGTGTCAGTAAGCTTTCACACATGCAGTGTGTTAAGTCATCTCGGATTATAAGCCTGCCTGCCTCGATCAGCTGATGAAAGGCTCCTCGGTAATTTAGCCTACAGCTCAAACGCTGCTTAGAAAGTTGTTACTTAAAGGAGATGGATGTAGGGTGTCTTTATAAGCTGCATCCATTCAAGTTCAAGAATTTCGATGTTTAAAACATTGCCAACTTCTTAACTTTACACGAGCCACCAATGTGATGCGGCAGGAAAGACCGTGCACTCTCTGCGTGTCCAGGCCTATCGTTCCGGCGATGCAGAGGATCAACTAGCCGCTCAATGTTGATGGTTTTTGAATGAGCGCCTCGCATTATCTACATTGTATACACAGTGAAGGGCATCTTTTGGGATGAACACAGTTTGGGATTATTATTTGGATTATCACACAACGTTGATCATGGTGAGATTCGTTTGATATATATTTTTGTTGCAATGACCTGCATCCATAAGACAGGTCTGATCATCTCTCTGCGCTCTCTCTCTCTCTCTCTCTCGGTCAACTTACGATATTAGCTCTCCTTCCACACTTACACCATGTGCATTACTATTTTGGAAAAATTATTCATAGTATTTGACCTTCAAACTAATTTTATATATGACTATAATAACCTCTCTTTTCTCAAACCTTTCTAATTTTTGCTGTGGTTTGACAGACAGACAGACAGATATCCTTCAACTTTTGTTGTCTTTTCGCACTGAACATGCTGAATAACGTTTGT